TGAGCTACAACCCATCCCCAAATTGATCATTCTGTTTTTTTGTAGCGAACCACAAATGTCAACCAGGATTTTTTCAATGTGATAATAAACGATGTATACCAGATCATCTAGTGTGTAACGGAGGTCTGGACTGTTTTGACGAAAGCGACGAGTATGATTGTCCAGCCTTAAACTGTACTGGTCGACGTTGGACGTGTAAAACGGTACGACAGTGTATCTCTCGGAAATATCAATGCGATGGAGTCGACGATTGCACAGATGCTAGTGATGAGGAAGATTGTGGTTAGTATACGATTAAAGCATTTTAATGCAATAGCTTTGGTAGTAATGGTGACCAATGAAAACCAGCAATGCAAATTATAGCCACTGCTTTTCGATTTCGATTAATGTATAAAACAGGGTTTATTGATGTGGTGATAAATTTTGAAATTTTTGGGGGTGCTTTGCATAAAATTTTTGGACGATTATAATTTATGTTGTTCTATTCAGTCAGGCTATACTCTCTGAAAACCTAAGACAGGCGTTTTCAACTTGGGGGTCATTTTGAAAATTTTAGGGGTAAGGAGACGCTTTGTGGTCTAGCATAAAATTTTTGGACGATAATAATTTAAGATGTTTTATTCAGTCAGACTATACTCTCTGACATGAAAACGATTGCTGGGAAAACCTAAAAACGAAAATCATGAAGTAGTAAGGATTTGTAGGGGGGAGGGTTTAGTTCCAAATATGTTTTTCTTTCAGCTACAAATTTGGTGCCTGCCAAAAATAATTAATTAAAAGTATGTGTTTTGATTTTGTTTTTTCAGCTACACGAGCGCCTGATGAATGCCATGATAATGAGTTTAAATGTACAGTTGGAGGTTGTATACCAGAAACGTGGAAATGTGACGGACAGGAGGATTGTGAGGATGGCTCGGATGAACCCTCGACTTGTGGTAGGCTACTTACTTTTTTTTTTTTACATGATTTAGGGTGTGCACAAGTTTTGAGCCTACATATTTATTCTTTCAACAGATTGTAAAGAGGTTTTCTAAATTTTTTAGACGTCTGATTGAAAATTAGAATGATGTAAATTGATGCTATCATTATCTCTGATACACATAAAAAATTTAGAAAACCCCTTTACAATCTCTTTAACAAGAACCACAGACGTCTGATTGAAAATTAGAATGATGTAAATTGATGCTATCAGTGTCCCTGATACACATAAAAAATTTAGAAAACCTCTTTACAATCTCTTTAACAAGAACCACAGACGTCTGATTGAAAATTAGAATGATGTAAATTGATGCTATCAGTGTCCCTGATACACATAACAAATTTAGAAAACTTCTTTACAATCTCTTTAACAAGAACCACAGACGTCTGATTGAAAATTAGAATGATGTAAATTGACGCTATCAGTGTCCCTGATACACATAAAAAAACTTAAAAAACCTTGCCAAGTCCTGGTATATTAAAATGATTATTTTTTCTGTTTCTATAGCAACACCGACATGTTACTCAGGAAGATTTAGATGTAATAATGGAAGATGTATATTTCACGGGTGGGTTTGTGATGGAGATGACGACTGCGGTGATAATTCAGACGAAGCTCAGAGTCTGACTTGTGGTACGTAGTAAGAAAATAAAGTTTATTTTTTGACAGACTCGTTGTTGAAAACGTAATCCTTTGAACCCTGAGTGTAAATGAAATATAACGTCATTCCTGTTTCTGAGACTTAAGTATGATTGGTCAAAAAAATGGCTCATCTGTCCCTTTTACCAAAGTCAGCTTCCCTCTTCATTGAAAGAGATAGGTTTGCTACCCGCTATCTTATCGTACCTTAGTCTCAGAAACAGGAATTTTTTAGCTAAGCTAATCAGTAATAGTGTTCACAGCTCAACGTCGAAATTTGAGTCTTCAAATCCATGTGCTAGAATTATCTACGTTTGAAAGTTAAAATGACAACTCGTCTTTTCTTGAGACACTGTCATATATAGAAAAGATATCTATAGAAATAGACAGTAAAATTCCTAGTTTAAGATATTTTTGAAGGAATTATGTGATTTTTGTACATTTCTAGTATTTCTGAAGACTATTTACATATATTCAAGACTCAAATCAACCAAGCCAAGGACCATGTATAGTGTATTGTTGTATTTTTAAAGGAATTATGTGATTTTGGTACATTTCTAGTATTTCTGAAGACTATTTACATATATTCAAGACTCAAATCAACACCCCAAAATGGATTTCATATCATTACAGTTATGTTTTATATTATTTTTTCAGCCCCACCCCCATTCAGTTGTCCATCAGGAGAATGGGAATGCCCTGGTACCAGAGTCTGTATTAATATTACCAGCGTCTGCGATGGTTCCATAGATTGTCCTCAAGGTCATGACGAAAGTCCAGTCTGCAGTAAGTTTTCATTTAACGAAAAACAAAATTTTTATGTGTATCAGAGACACTGATAAGATCAATTTACATCATTCTAATTTTCAATCAGATGTCTGTGGTTCTTGTTAAAGAGATTGTGAAGAGGTTTTCTAAATTTTTTATGTGTATCAGGGACACTGATAGCATCAATTTACATCATTCTAATTTTCAATCAGATGTCTGTGGTTCTTGTTAAAGAGATTGTAAAGAGGTTTTCTATATTTTTTTATGTGTATCAGAGACACTGATAGCATCAATTTACACCATTCTAATTTTCAATCAGACGTCTATGGTTCTTGTTAAAGAAATTGTAAAGAGGTTTTCTAAATTTTTTATGTGTATCAGAGACACTGATAGCATCAATTTACATCATTCTAATTTTCAATCAGACGTCTGTGGTTCTTGTTAAAGAGATTGTAAAGAGGTTTTCTAAATTGTTTATGTGTATCAGGGACACCGATATCATCAATTTACATCATTCTAATTTTCAATCAGACGTCTATGGTTCTTGTTAAAGAGATTGTAAAGAGGTTTTCTAAATTTTTTATATGTATCAGGGACACTGATAGCATCAATTTACATCATTCTAATTTTCAATCAGACGTCTGTGGTTCTTGTTAAAGAGATTGTAAAGAGGTTTTCTAAATTTTTTATGTGTATCAGGGACACTGATAGCGTCAATTTACACCATTCTAATTTTCAATCAGATGTCTGTGGTTCTTGTTAAAGAGATTGTAAAGAGGTTTTCTAAATTTTTTATGTGTATCAGGGACACCGATAGCATCAATTTACATCATTCTAATTTTCAATCAGACGTCTGTAGTTCCTGTAATTCCTGTAAAACTAAGTATTTTATGACGTCACTAATCACAAAGGGCCTTAAATATTATTAGCAGCTTTTTCGACAGTGACGTCATCAAACACTTAGTTTTAGTGGAATTACAAGAAGCACAGACGTCTGATTGAAAATTAGTTATTATCTCTTCATTTTATTTCATTTTGAATAATTTTTTTTGTCCCTAGATTCGGAGAGTTGTAGGCTAGAAAATGGTGGCTGTAGTCATCGTTGTATTCAGACTCCGCGTGGTGCTGAGTGTTTTTGTCCTGAAGGTCAGGAATTGAATGATACCAAGATCTGTCAAGGTTTGTGTTAAACAGGCTTCATCCTTCATCCCTATTCATAATCTGAGATTTGTGTTAAACCTGCTTCCTTCCTATTCCCATTGCGGTTAGGTATTAGGGGGTGAGAGCAGACACCAGGCTGACTCTCGGACTGGCACAGGCATCAGAATTTTTCTTACTTTGAGAAGGATTCGAACCCACGGTATCTAATTGCCTAGCAGACGACATTCCAACTCGCTACCAACAGAGCTAATTATGTATTAGAAATTGGGTATAGGGGGTGAAAGCCGTCACCGAGCCGACTCTCAAAAGCACTGGCACAGGCATCAGAATTTTTCTTACCCTCAGGAGGATTCGAACCCATAGCATAATTGTCGTTAGGGTGGGACAATTGACTAAGGCCCCATGTACTACAGGCTGAAGACGTTAAAGATCCCGCGACAGTTGGCAATCGCAAAAGAGTAGGATAATGCCGCTGTCCTGGCAAAATTTCGCTCATTGCACAGTGCATGGCCATGCCCATCTTCATTAGCTCAATCAGTTGAGGACTGCAGTTTTCTTGCATTTCCTGTCCGAAAGAAAACATTTTTGAATGCCCTTTTTTGTCTATTTCAGATAAGAATGAATGTGACCCCCCAGGAATTTGTAGCCAGACGTGTATTAATACGAAGGGGTCTTATAAATGTCAATGTGACGAAGGTTATTCTTTATTACCCGATAAAAAAACATGTCAAGCTAGCAGAAGTAAGTTATAACATAGATTTTGTCCGTCTGCCATTTGTCCGTCTGTCTGTCCATGTTTGGCTTGTGAATTCGATGGAGGTTTTGATATTGACCAGTTATTTGGTTTCTTGGAGCCATAGTGGCTCGGTGAGTTAGACGCTTCCTTGCTAACTTGAAGGTCCAGGGTTCAATCCAAGCACAGGTTGAGATAATACCTTCAGATTTTTCAACCCAGTTTCCCCCTGTCAGTGAGTTAGACACTTGCTTGCTAACTTGAAGGTCCAGGGTTCAATCCAAGCACAGGTTGAGATAATACCTTCAGATTTTTCAACCCAGTTTCCCCCTGTCAGTGAGTTAGACACTTGCTTGCTAACCTGAAGGTCCAGGGTTCAATCCAAGCACAGGTCGAGATAATACCTTCAGATTTTTCAACCCAGTTTCCCCGTCAGTGATGTTAGATGCTTGCTTGCTAACCTGAAGGTCCAGGGTTCAATCCAAGCACAGGTCGAGATAATACCTTCAGATTTTTCAACCCAGTTTCCCCGTCAGTGATGTTAGATGCTTGCTCGCTAACCTGAAGGTCCAGGGTTCAATCCTGGCATAGGTCGACATAATTACTTCAGATTTGTCAGTTATGTAGGTAAGAGAGACTGACATAGAAAAAGCGTCTAGTTGTTCGGATGGGACAATAAACTGAGTCCCTGTGTTCTACAGGGTTCAATCCCAGCATATATCGAGCTAATACCTTCAGATTTTTCAACCCAGTTTCCCCCTGTCAGTGATGTAGGTGAGAGAGACTGACATGGAAAAAGCGTCTAGTTGTTCGGATGGGACAATAAACTGAGTCCCTGTGTGCTACAGGCTGTGTAATGTAAAAGATGTAAAATGTCTTTGCAAAATTTCCCTCATTTCACACTGCAAGGTGTTACTTGTCTTCATACGACTAAGTAGGTTTAAAACAGTTACTTAATTTGAAATCCTTAAATGCCTTTTTTTTTAATTTTGAATTTTAGACACGTCTGAAGTGTTTCTATTAGTTGCTACAAGAAAGACTATCATACGATCTAGTCTAGATGCCTGGATGTACAAGTCTTTACCACTGGTTAACCAGAGATCGCTGTCTGCTATTGATATAGACGTAGCCACAGGACATATTTACTATTCTGATACAGGCCTGAAGAAGATTTTCAGAGCTACGTATAATGGTACAGATATTACGGAGGTATGGTCTAGCTTAGAGGGAGCATTGGTTATATACAGGGGAAGGAGATGGTCAGAGTTGGTGGGGTGGGGCACTCAAATTTTCAATCCCCAGGCCTGAAGTAGATTTTTAGGGCTACGTATAATGGCACAGATATTACAGAGGTATGGTCTAGCTTAGAGGGAGCATTGGCTTATATACCGGGGGAGGGGATGGGTAGAGTTGGTGGGGTGGGGCACTCATATTTTCAATCCCCAGGCCTGAAGTAGATTTTTAGGGCTACGTATAATGGCACAGATATTTCAGAGGTATGGGCTAGCTTAGAGGGAGAATTGGTTATATACAGGGGGAGGGGATGGTCGGAGTTGGTGGGGTGGGGCACTCAAATTTTCAATCCCCAGGCCTGAAGTAGATTTTTAGGGCTACGTATAATGGCACAGATATTACAGAGGTATGGGCTAGCTTAGAGGGAGAATTGGCTTATATACCGGGGGAGGGGATGGGTCGGAGTTGGTGGGGTGGGGCACTAAAATTTTCAATCCCCAGGCCTGAAGTAGATTTTTAGGGCTACGTATAATGGTACAGATATTACACAGGTATGGTCTAGCTTAGAGGGACCATGCAAAATTTCCCTCATTGCACACTGCATTGTATTTCGTTTTGTTTTGTTTCAGATTATATCAACTGGTGTAGATGTTATAGAAGATATAGCTGTTGATGCCATTGTCCTGGCAAATTTCCCTCATTGCACACTGCATTGTATTTCGTTTTGTTTCAGATTATATCAACTGGTGTAGATGTTATAGAAGATATAGCAGTTGATGCCACTGTCCTGGCAAATTTCCCTCATTGCACACTGCATTGTATTTCGTTTGGTTTCAGATAATATCAACTGGTGTAGATGTTATAGAAGATATAGCTGTTGATTGGATCGCTAGGAATATTTATTGGACGGATTATCGTATGGAGACGGTCGAGGTAGCAGATATTGACGGTAACGAAAGAGTCGTACTGATTAGTACTAATATTACTAATCCTAGAGGTATTGAAGTGGATCCCAGAGACGGGTATGTTAAACTTGTTTTTATACGCCCACATGAAATCGCCTATGTCAGTCCGTTCGTCCATTGGTCCGTCCGTCCACAATTGCTCATAAACACTCTAGAAGGCACAATTCTTGACAGATTTAAATGAAATGTTTGTGTTTGTAATCACCCAAGGATGAACCCTTTTGAAAATCAGAAGAATCGAAAAATAATGAGTTTGAGTTATTGCCCTTGTTCTTGAAAACTATTCGCTGTAAACACTCTAGAAGGCACAATTCTTGAAGGATTTAGACGAAACTTGGTATGGTTGTTTGTAATCACTCGGAATGCACCTATTGCTCGCGTCACATTATCCCGTCGCTGGAAAGGGCAGCCAGGTGATTTGTTAAAACAGAGGTCAAGCAAAGGTTAACAGAATGAAGGACAGTGTTAGACCTGACTGTAGTGATTACGTACAAAGCTAATAGCTAATAAAACTTTCGAAACAAAACTAATAAAATACAAACTGAAGTTAGGGCTAATTTTAATTTGAGGGGGCTAATTTATCTTTTTTCATTTTTTTTGACAGGTTACGATATTTGTTTTGGTCAGATTGGGGTCAGAATCCAAAAATAGAGCGTGTTGGATTGGACGGTTCCAGTCGAGTTGCCATAGTAACAGACAAGATTTACTGGCCGAATGCCTTAACTCTGGATTATCCGAACAAACGTCTCTATTTCGCAGACGCCAGATTAGATTTTATAGATTACTGCAATTACGATGGTAGTGGACGACACAGGATGTTTTCCAACGATCATGTGAGTTTTTCTTCTTTTTTTACCTATCCCAGAATGCCTCACTAACCTGAAGGTCCAGGGTTCAATCTTGGCATAGGTCAATGAAATGAAATGAAATGAATGGAGTTTTACGTCCTACTTTTCTGCACCATGTGGGCTAATGAAGACGGCCAGCATAGGTCGAGAAAATACCTTCAGATTTTTCAACCCAGTTTCCCCTTGTCAGTGAGTTGGACGCTTGCTCACTAACCTGAAGGTCCAGGGTTCAATCCTAGCATAGGTTGAGATAATACCTTCAGATTTTTCAACCCTGGTTTCCCCCTGTCAGTGAGTTAGATGCTTGCTCACTAACCTGAAGGTCTAGGATTCAATCCCAGCATAGGTCAAGATAATACCTTCAGATTTTTCAACCCAGTTTCCCCCTGTTAGTGAGTTAGAAGCTTGCTCGCTAACCTGAACGTCCAGGGTTCAATCCCAGCATAGGTTGAGATAATACCTTCAGATTTTTCAACCCAGTTTCCCCCTGTTAGTGAGTTAGAAGCTTGCTCGCTAACCTGAAGGTCCAGGGTTCAATCCCAGCTTAGGTTGAGATAATACCATCGGATTTTTCAATCTAGCTTCTTGGTCAGTGGGGAGCCACGGTGGATCATCGAGTTAGATCATTATAACTTTTATATCTTTCAGTTTTTGAGACATCCTCATGCCTTAACGATATTTGAAGATCGTATCTATTGGACGGATCGTGCCGCTAATCGAATATCGCGATGTAATAAATTCAACTGTACGGAGAGAACGGTGATGGCATCAAATATTGCCCGCCCCCTGGGAATCGTTGCTTATCATTCGGTACGACAACCAATTGGTATGTAGGACTCCATAGATATTTTATTTCAACACACCTGAATTTGAAGGCTTAAATTTCGACAGTGAACTGTGAACACTATTACTGATAAGCTTAGCTAAAATATTCCTGTTTCTGAGACTAAAGTATGATTGGTCAAAAAAATGGCACATCTGTCCCTTTAACAAAGTCAGCTTTACTCTTCATTGAAAGAGATAGGTTTTCTATCGGTTATCTAATCGTACCTTAGTCTCAGAAACGGGAATTTTTTCAGCTAAGTCAATCAGTAATAGTGTTCACAGTTCACTGTCGAAATTTGAGCCTTCAAATCCATGTGTGTTCAGAATTATTCACGTTTGAAAGTTAAAATGACAACTTGTCTTTTCTTGAGACACTGTGATATATAGAAAAGACATCTATAGAAATAGTGAGTAAAATTCCTAGTTTGAGATATTTTTGAAGGAATTATGTGATTTGGTACATTTCTAGTATTTCTGAAGACTATTTACATATATTCAACACTCAAATCAAACCCTGAAAATGGCGAAACCTGTCCCTTAAAATTGACCATTACTTATAATTTATTTTGAACATTGCCTGATAAATAATTAATATATATATTTTAGGCAGTAACTCGTGTGAAAAGAAACCATGCAGTCATCTGTGTCTGCTATCACCAACATCAGAATTAGGTTATAAATGTTTGTGTCCAGTTGGATTCAAGATGGATGCCACCAGTCATGTTTGTAAACAAGGTGAAGTAACATTATTATATTAATATGTTCTGTCAGTCTGTTTCAAATCTGACCCTAATTGAACGGGATGAAAGCGGATATGTCACATTCAAAATTTTCCCATCTATTTCCTTTTCCGCCATTGAATTCTGTCTTCACCTACTATTTTTTTCGTCACACTTGACTGAAATGGTTCAAATTGATGATATCAGTGTCCCTGATACACATAAAAAATATAGAAAACCTCTTTACAATCTCTTTAACAAGAACCACAGACATCTGATTGAAAATTAGAATGATGTAAATTGATGCTATCAGTGTCTCTGATACACATAAAAAATTTAGAAAACCTCTTTACAATCTCTTTAACAAGAACCACAGACGTCTGATTGAAAATTAGAATGATGTAAATTGATGTTATCAGTGTCTCTGATACACATAAAAAATATAGAAAACTTCTTTACAATCTCTTTAACAAGAACCACAGACATCTGATTGAAAATTAGAATGGTGTAAATTGATGCTATCAGTGTCCCTGATACACATAAAAAAATTTAGAAAACCTCTTTACAATCTCTTTAACAAGAACCACAGACGTCTGATTGAAAATTAGAATGATGTAAATTGATGCTATCAGTGTCCCTGATACACATAAAAAATTTAGAAAACCTCTTTACAATCTCTTTAACAAGAACCACAGACGTCTGATTGAAAATTAGAATGATGTAAATTGATGCTATCAGGGTCCCTGATACACATACAAAATATAGAAAACCTCTTTACAATCTCTTTAACAAGAACCACAGACATCTGATTGAAAATTAGAATGATGTAAATTGATGCTGTCAGTGTTTAGAAAATCTCTTTAAGGATTTAAAGGAAACTGACAAAGGATTTTAATTATTTTTTTCAGCTAGTGAAGTTGTATTGTTATACATGCAGCCTAGAATGATATCAGGTATAAAACCTGATAGCAAGGGTAAACCAAGTATGATACCAGTTACTTCCCTTGTTGATGGTTTAGATTTCGACTACGACAGTCGCGAAGGTTTTATATACTATATCGAGAAGGAAAACGTAAGTAGAATTTCCATTTTGTGTAGTTTTAAATGGATGCGTTCTCCATTTTGGGGGGTTGATTTGAGTCTTGAATATATGTAAATAGTCTTCAGAAATACTAGAAATGTATGAAAATCACATAATTCCTTTAAAAATATCCCAAACTAGGAATTTTACTCACTATTTCTATAGATGTCTTTTCTATATATCACAGAGTCTCAAGAAAAGACGAGTCGTTATTTTAACTTTCAAACGTAGATAATTCTGGACACACATGGATTTGAAGGCTCAAATTTTGACAGTGAGCTGTGAACACTATTACTGATTAACTTAGCTAAAAAATTCCATTTCTGAGACTAAAGTATGATTGGTCAAAAAAATGGCTCATCTATCCTTTTAAGAAATACAGTTATCTGATTGGATAATAAAGCTAAATTTAAAACCAATTTTAGTGATTGACCAATCAGATAACTGGAATACTAAAATCATCTTAAGTTAAGAAATACAATAATCTGATTGGATAATAAAACTGAATTTAAGATCAATTTCATTGATTGGCCAATCAGATGACTGGAATACTAAAATCATCTTAAGTTAAGAAATACAGTAATCTGATTGGATAATTAAACTTTAATATTAATAATTGACCAATCAGATGACTGGAAAACATATTAAGTTTATTTTTCAAGAATGATTCCCCTGAATTATGAATATTATTTTTTACAGGGTAGTTTGAGAAGAATTCAAATCAATGGTCAAAACGCGTCAGAATTTGTCCCGACGGCCGTCATTGGTCAGCCTAATGCCCTGGCTATTGATTGGCTCTCTAATAATTTATATTGGGCCAATGAAGATATGAGCACGATAGAAGTTATGAAGATGACGGGGGAGAAACACTATCGTAAAATATTAATCAGTAATAATGGGAAAGAGACTGATGTAGCTGCTCCGTTATCTATTTGTTTAGATCCAGTTCAAGGGTACGTACCGTATATTTGCGTGTATCGTATCCCAGATACAGGTTTTGATAGGGTCTTATTAACCCGTATTAAACTAAACCCACTACACTTCATTTTGGGGGCGTGGAAATGAGATTGGTGCTATTTAAATCTGACCAATCAGATCAGTAGAACAGAAATGAGGTCATGTAAACAAAACACAACATCGCTTTGCCACTGCCTGTTTGAAGAGATAAGAACACATTCTTTCCAAGTAAATATTACAAAGTAAGGTTTGATTTTCTCTTAGCTTCAATTCTTTAACGAAAATCTTACTCAATTCTGTACCGTACATATTCATCAAAACATTTAATGACACCCTACTTTCGTTTTGTTTACGTGATTTGTTTTGATTGGCTGAAATTTGTTACCAATACAGTAGGGCCAATTTTGATTGGACAATATTTAACTATGAATACGTAATTTTTTCTCACTTGTATTTACCACGGCCCCGAGTATAGTATTTTGTGACATGGTTTTTATCAGGTAAGGTCAAAAGGTTAATTTGACGAATATGAATTATCCCAATAACCTTTTGACCTTACCTGATGACCTCTGCTTTAACCAATCAATTTCTTTCGATATGTTTATGATATTTTTTATATTTTCAGGAAACTATATTGGTCTGATAAAGGAGGTAATGGCGTCCCTGCTAAAATAGGCGTAATGAATATGGACGGAACCAAGTCTAAAGTTTTGGTATCAACTGATATTAGAGTACCACAATATCTTACTATAGACATCAATAACCAGGCTTTATATTGGTCCGATTCTTTCCATCAAGACGTAAGTTTAGTTGCTTGCTCATTGACCTCGGGGCCATGGTGGCTCGGTGATGTTAGACACTTGTTCGTTAACCTGAAGGTCCAGGGTTCAATCCCAGCATAGGTCAAGATAATACCTTCAGATTTTTAAACCCAGTTTCCCCCTGTCAGTGATGTAGGTAAGAGGGGCTGACATGGAAAAAGTGTCTAGTCGTTCGGGTGGACAATAAACCGAGGTCCTGTGTGCTACAGGCTGTACATAGTGAAGATCCCTCGACAGTTGGAAATCAAAAAAGAGTAGGCTCACGATGCTGTCCTTACAAAATTTCCCTCATTGCACACTGCATGGTGTTGCCTGTCTTCATTAGCCCAATTAGGTTCAGAACGGTAGGATGTAAAACTCCATTTCATTTCATTTCGTTGTTTCTTTTTCAAGAGACTGATTCCGAACCTAAGTCACCAGGCGGTTTAACGGTTTACAAGAATCGTTTGTATTATACTGATTCTGATTACGAGGCCATCTATGAGGCCAACTTTTCAAATTTGACACATCCAACGCAGGTCAAAAATAATCTTCCAAAATTACAGTCACTGAAAATATATTATGACAGGCATGGTAAGTTATCTTTGTTAAAATTTCCCTCATTTCACACTGCATAGTGTTGCCTGTCTTGAGCACATCTCAAGTCAAAAATAATTTCCCAAAATTGCAGTCTCCTGATACACATGAAAAATTTAGAAAACCTCTTTACAATCTCTTTAACAAGAACCACAGACGTCTGATTGAAAATTAGAATGATGTAAATTGATGCTATCAGTGTCTCTGATACACATAAAAAATATAGAAAACCTCTTTACAATCTCTTTAACAAGAACCACAGACGTCTGATTGAAAATTAGAATGATGTAAATTGATGCTATCAGTGTCTCTGATACACATGAAAAATTTAGAAAACCTCTTTACAATCTCATTAACACTGTTGTTTTTATATGCTTTTTTGTAGATAGTGGAAGCAATGGGTGTTCAGATAATTACGGAGGATGTTCACAGTTATGTTTACCAATTGGTGTGAACAAACAGAAGAAATGCGACTGTGGTATCGGATTTGTTTTACAATCCAACGGTGATTGCCAAGGTAAACATAATTACCATTAAATTTCTTAAACCCTTTGAACGCTGAGTAACGTGCTCGCTAACCTGAAGGTCCAGGGTTCAGATTTTTCAACCTGGTTTCCCCCTGTCAGTGATGTAGGTAAGACAGGCTGACATGGAAAAAGTGTTTAGTCATTCGGATGGGACAATAAACCGAGGCCCCGTGTTCTACAGACTACAAATCCCTCGACAGTTGGAAATTGAAAAAAAACAGGCTAATGCCACTGTCCTGGCAGTCTGCTTTAACAAATAAAATTTCTACCCTCTACAGCCCAGGCATTTTGTTACGCGGTGGTTATCAAACCTAACCCTAACTGAAGTGGCTATATTAAAAATAAAAGCTAATAAAAAAACGTAAGGAAAGTTTGGTCTAATTTAATTTAGACAACATGATTCTATTTGAGAATTGTATTCTGCAGAAAAGTAGGACGTAAAACTCCACCCATCCATTTTTTCAGAATCGAATTCGTTCCTGTTGATATCACAGTATAAAAAGTTACGAGGGTTTGGACTGAGTGAACAGAATCCTCAAGAAGCTATGGTACCAGTTGGTGGAGAAGGTCTGTAATTTCTGTCATTAATTCTAAATTTGTAATTTGTTTTACTCGGTTTTCCTACTGTTAGTAATAAATTTAAAAGCCAACTTGGAAATGGTGTAATATCGTTCAAAATTGGTGGAAATGGTCTGTAATTTTTTTCGTTGATTTTTAACGAACTTCATATGACATCTTAGATTTTTTAATTTCCTTCGTTTTTTTCAATTTTTTTTTCCTTGATTTACATTTTGATTGAATTGCAGTAAAACCACTTGCCAAATTTCTATGGACATATTAATTAATTATCTTTTGATTACATTGTAGGTAAACCTCGTGCCAGATTTCAATTCTAAAAAGTAGTATGCTTTGGTATTTCAGGTAGAGCAATCAGTAAAAGAGAAGTTACTAAGCTTATGTATATTGACAACATTTTGATTGAATTGTAGTTAAACCCCATGCCAAATTTCAATTCTAAAAAGTGATATGCTTGGTATTTCAGGTAGAGCAATCAGTAAAATAGAAGTCATAATGAAATTTGGATATATTTATTGGACGGATTTGAATCCAGGGGACAAGATCAACAAAGCCGCCAGTACGTTGAATCGTATCAAAGCAGACGGCTCAGAATTTCAAGTTGTAATTAAATCTGGAGTAGGAACGAACGGAATTCAAGGCATCGCTATTGATTGGTTAGCAGGTAAGTAGAAATTATTTTGATGGTGGGGTACGTAAACTGATTTGGAAATCTTTTTCACCAAAGGTTTTCTAGTCCAGTTTTCAAGATTTCTCCACAGTTGCTGTCCTGGTAAAATTTCCCTCATTGCACACTGCATGGCGTTGTCAGTTTTAATACGCCCACATGAAATGGGGGGGGCGTATATTGCCGACACCCATGTCCGTCCATCCATCCGTCGGTCCGTCCACAATTGCTCGTAAACACTCCAGAAGGCACAATTCTTGATGGATTTTGACAAAACTTAGTATAAGTGTTCGTAATCACCCAAGGATGAACTCTATTGAAAATCAGAAGAATCAAAAAATATTTAGTATGAGTTATTGCCCTTGTTCTTGAAAACACTGTAAACATTCTACAAGGCACAATTCTTGACGGATTTTGATGAAACTTGGTAATATTATTCAGTATCGCCCTAAAGAGTTCAAAAGAAGTGTATGACTGAAGGTTGAATATTTCATACTGGTAATTGTTACTGTACTGCTAAATATTTTTATTCAAATTCAAAGCTGCCAGTAGGTGTATATTACCTTGCCTGGCAAGCTATCTTAAATTCAGTTTTATCATCCAATCAGATTACTGTATTTCATATGTTAAGATGATTCCATTCATTTGATTGGTCAATCACTTTAAAACAAACATTTATTATCCAATCAGATAAGTGTATTTCATCTTCTCTAAATCTATTTTTAGGAAATCTATATTTTACCAATGCATTCACCATTGAAACGTTTATCGAGGCGTGTCGATTGGACGGAAGTTATCGTAGAGTTATAATACGTGAACCACAAGGCCGACCTCGTTCGATTGCTGTTGATCCTATCAAAAGGTTTATGTTTCTTTTGTATAAAAAATAGCAAAAAATATCTATACATCCAAGCAATAATTGCAAAGTAGTCGACTGCTCCAAAGAGAAGTACCATCAGGTGTTTTTAATCTAAATCTCGTCCAAAGTATGGCAAAATCGAGAGTAAAAGTTGTATAGTAGTGGACTCCTTCAAAGAGAGTAGCTGTAGCGTAATTGGTTAGAGTGTTAGAGAGTTACATGACATCATTTGCTAGGTTGAAACAAACGGTGGTTGTGGGGGTTTTATTTCGGTCAGCGTTTGAAAATCTTTCTTCGCTGTTCTTTTTTATTGTTCCTTTTCAATCCCACCAATTTTCATGGATTTTGATGGAATTGTTTTCTATTTTTTGGATCGAGTTTGGACAATTTTGTTTCAGATATATATATTGGGCAGACTACGGTCAACATCCGAAGATCGAGAGAGCGAATCTAGACGGAAGTAACAGAACAACGTTAGTATCAAATGGTATAAGTTTTCCGCGAGATATAGCCGTTGATATTATAACTCATGATGTTTATTGGGTAGATTCTGTCGTGGATGCGTTACAATCGATCAGCTATAATGGAGAAAACAGACAGTACATCAAAATTAATTTACCAAATCCGTTTGGCGTGGCCGTTTACGGAGATTGGATCTATTGGGTGGATAGAAATCTGAAAAAGGTATGTGAGAAATTTTTGTGGAAATGTAAAAAGCGTCTAGTCGTTGGGCAATAAACCAAGGCCCTTTGTGATAATGGCTCTCGACAGTTGGAAATTGAAAAGGAGCAGGCTAATGCTGCTGTCCTGGCAAAATTTCCCTCATTACACACTGCATGGCATTGCCTGTCTTCATTAGCCCAATCAGGTGCAGTCGTAGAAATTTGACCTACCAGAACCCAGTGATGCCTCAAAATTTCCCTCATTGTACACTGCATGGCATTGCCTGTCTTCATTAGCCCAATCAGGTGCAGAAGTACAAATTCGACCTACCAGACCAGATGTCTCAAAATTTCCCTCATTGCACACTGCCCACTTTTTAGCCAATCAGAAATAAGAAATATAATATTTATTGTAGATATTTAAAGGTAGAAAGACAAAGAGATCCAATGATTCTATTATCGTCGTCAAGAGTGATCTTCCAGAACTTCGAGATGTCAAAATATTCGACGATTCAATTCAACCAAAAGGTACGTTAATTTCATAGAAAACCTTGAAAATATTCCACACCGATATTGTGACATTGTCGTTTAGGGTAGGGTTTGTACAGTTTTAGAAAATGGTCTATCAACAATGATTTCAAAATGGCTGACAGTCAATATCGCCTGGGAAACCTATTGGGCAAATGTCAAAAAAATTTTGTTTTGCGTTTATTTTTCGATAACTGTTGTTTGTCACGTGACAATATGGCGTATGAATACATCTCAAAACAAAACATTTCACGAAATCACTCGAATGTGATCAGTGGCCATTTTGTCAAAGACTTTAGTTAATGGTGACAGCACACGAACGAATCTTGAGTAAAATCTCATGGTTGCCGTGCTTCCACTACATGGTTAACGTGTGGCTGACAGGATTTATAATATCTAACAAGTTTGATAATTGTCTCCGCTTGTTTTATCGTCTTCTATATTTGATATCAGGTGAAAGTCCGTGTATTAACAACAATGGCGGATGTGATCAGCTCTGTTTCGCTCTACCAAATAAAGACGATCCGACTTGTGTCTGTGCTTCAGGAAAACTCGATACAGACGGCAAATCTTGTACAGGTAAGTTAATTTTATCAAAAGGGGGAGGAGGGTATTGGACTTGAATCAATCTGACAAGTGAGCTCAAAGTTAAGTGCAATGGGTTTGAATCCTCCTCAATGGAAGAAAAATTGTGCCTGTGCCAGTGCTTTTGAGAGATGGTCACAGTGTTGGCTCTAACCCCCTAATACCTAACCCTTATCCTCCTCAAGATAAGAAAAATTCTGATGCCTGTGCCAGTGCTTTCTAGAGTCGGCTCAGTGTTGGCCCTCTACTTCTAATACTAAGTATGGACAGAGAAATTGTAACTATGGAAACCTATTTTATTTTTTTTTTTTTCAGCTCCTAGTGATTTTCTAATCTATGCCGCAGAAAACGAAATCCGTGGTATCAGTTTAGATCTGAAAAATATGGCGGCACCAATTCCACCTATCACTGGCCTGCGAGGTGCCGTAGCTGTAGACTTTGACGCCAAGACACAATATATATATTTTAGTCAAGTTGGTGGAAAGAAAATCAGTCAAGTTAAGAAAGGATCGGTGAAAGTTGAAGACATTTTGGATAACGATATTAACAGTAAGATTTTTCGTTCACTAACTGACTTCCTTAAAAGGGGTTTTGAAAGTTTTCTATGTGTATCAGGGCCGTTTTTGGATTCTGTTTGCACCATTCAAATATTCCCTAAGATGTCTGTGGTTCTTGCAATTCCATTATGACTAATAATTTATTATATAAATTTAGTTTCCCAAAGATCACACAGTGTGAAACTTTGAGTAACAACATGTTTCAGGTTCTGTTTTAGTTGTCAGAAGATCACATAGTGTGAAACTCTGAGTAACAACATGTTTCAGGTTCTGTTTTAGTTGTCTGAAGATCACACAGTGTGAAACTTTGAGTAACAACATGTTTCAGGTTCTGTTTTAGTTGTCTGAAGATCACATAGTGTGAAACTCTGAATAACAACATGTTTCAGGTTCTGTTTTAGTTGTCTGAAGATCACATAGTGTGAAACTCTGAGTAACAACATGTTTCAGGTTCTGTTGTAAATCTTCAGTAAATAAAAAGTGAATTTTGAAAGAGTTTTATTTTGTTATTTAAGGTACCCTATCTAATCATGATATAACGTCAGTAGAAGGAATGGCGTTTGATTGGGTCAGTAAAAGACTGTATTGGGCTGATCTGTTTAAGAAGAGAATCTACAGTATGGGAATAGATAAGAGTAATAAGATTGAGCTGGCCGTTGTGAACAGTCCGAGAGCTGTAGCTGTTGATCCCTGCAGTGGGTATGTGTGTCCATTTTTATACTTACATATAGAAATAAACAGGTAAATTTGACCAGGATAATGACTTAGGTTCATGAGGTTCTTGTCTACCTTGTTCTTGAAAACGCGTTCAATTTTTAGCTTGTAAACCCTTCAAAAGGCACAAATCTTGACGGATTTCAACGAAACTTGGTGTGAGTGTTTGTAATTACCCAAGGATGAACCCTATTGAAAATCAGAAAAATCGAANAATATTTAGTGTGAGTTATTGCCCTTGTTCTTAAAAAAATAAGTTCAAGTTTTAGCCTGTAAACATTCTAGAAGGCCCAATTCTTGACAGATTTTGACAAAACTTGGTAATATTATTCAGTATCGCCCTAAAGAGTTCAAAAGAAGTGTATGACTGAAGGTTTGATATTTCATACTGGTAAATTGTTACTGTACTGCTAAATATTTTTAT